CATTGTCCTTTGTTTTCAAAATGTCTGCCTATTTGTGAGGTTAGTGCTAGGTCTAACGTGAAGGAGGGAGAGAAGAAATTAAATAAGAGTAATTTAATAACTAATACCCAAGCTGCTGTAACTTTAATTAAGGAAGAGAATCTGAGACCACGCCTGTCAACAGTGGCTGGGGTGACTGAGCCCCAGAGTTTAACATTAGCCTGGGGTAATATAGTGAGATGCCCATCTCAAGGAAAGGGGGAGGGTTGTAGCTTATCAGGGCACTGCAGCACATACCACGGCCGGATGTGATCCTCTGTGCTGGAGAAAAAAATTAAACATACTTTGGATTATAGTTGTACACATGGGTTGGCAAATCAAAAAAAAAAAACTGAAATGACGTAAGTTAGCAGCACAGGAGAGAATCGTCCTGTAGACTGCCCTGCCTGTGGACACATGTGTAGTTGCATGTTTCGATGCTTTTCTGTAATGCAGGGAAGGCATTGTTGCACTGAATGCGGGGCCTTAATGGTGCATGCGAGGGAAGTGAATTTGGGAGCAGTTTTCAGATCTTCTAAAGCAGCCAGCCTTTGCTGAGTTACTCAAACTCTGACCCCTTTCCTAAAGCACTGCGTGAAGTGGGTCAAAGAACAAAAACACAGTAACTCCTGACTGCGGTGTGCGCAACAGCGCCCCTAGTGGCCGGTCTCAGTTATTAAGTGGAAAGATGGAGTGGTCTTTCGTTTAACCCTCTCTGCGAGGGGCAGGCGTACCAGCACCCTGTTTAGTGGCTTGTCCTGCAGGCCAACATGGTTGTTGACTTGATGGAAGAGCTATGCACTTCATTTTAAAATATCTTATAATTCACTCATTTTCCAAACACTGTATCTCATGAGTTAGAACACAATGCAAACCGCCGAAATTTAAAGACAAGGCCGTTTTCTTCCTTGGTGAAGGCAGTGAGGAGAGAGGCTGTGACACATCCATAGACAGTATGCATTTTGTTGTAGGAGAGATCGTTGGTGTGTGTGTGTGTGTGTGTGTGTGTGTGTGTGTGTGTGTGTGTGTGTTGAAAGCTTTGGGGGTTTACTTCTCAGCTTCACTCAGTCCCTGACTGTGAGTGAGAGCCGCAGAGCGAAGGGCTGGCTGGGAACTTGCTGGGAGCTTTATTTTACTTGTGGCTCCAGAGTGGATGTGTGGCTGTACAGTACGTGCAGGTGGTCCTTGGTTTTACTGCTTGGCAGAGGGTTTTCACCTGGGAAGCAGGGGCAACTCAGATGTCAAGGCTCTGCTTCCAATGGTTGGATTTTATTTTGAAGTGATTCTATAGTTTCAATAAACTGACTATAGCCAAAAATGTAACTTTTCACCTCATTTTGCGATGAGATGCTTGTAACTTTTCTGTTAGATAGCAAACTGCAGAAAAGCTGGTTTTGGCTTTTTTTGTTGTTGTTGTTGTTATGTTTTTCTCTTAAGCAGAACGCTAACCCTGTCCTCTGGTGACTAAATAAATAGGGTCACAGAGGAACCGTAGTGCCTTAGGGATGGAGCCATGGGATACTACTTAATGTCTGTGCTTCCTGGAGCCGAGTGATTGCCTTCTCCTTACAGCCAGGAGGTGGCTGCGTTAGAAGGGGTAGTGGGATACACCTGAAATCCTTGCTTTTGGGAGGCTGGGGCAGGAGGATTGAGAGTTAGAGGACAGCAAGACCCTCTCAGAGGCAAACACATGCACACACCCCGACACACACCACTACACACTTGGCTGCCTCATTTGCAGCAGAACATAACAAAAGAAAAATCTTTTAATTTGGATATTTGATTGACTCTGGAAACATCTCTTTCTTGGAGAACTGACCCGCTCTTGAGTCTTCTACACGGACTGTCCAATAAAAAACGCTGGGCAAGCCTTTTCTCAAATGATGATGTCTTGCCTAAGAATAGACCCCTTTCAAGTATAACAGCCAGATAAGCCATCCTGCAGTTGAGTCAAATAGCCAACGGCTCCCCCTCCCCACTTGACGAACAACACAAGCAATATAATTTTACCGTTAAAACTTGGCTGACCCAAGCATGAACTTTCAAAGAAAACAAGTCATTACTAAAAGAGATTCCATTTCTTTCCGGGGCCTAATTTAAGATGACTTAACAGAATGTTGAAAAAAAATTTATCTTCCAATGACCACTTAATTCTGGAACAAATAAATAACCCCAAAGGAAGCAAAATAGAGATTTTTTTTATTTTAATTTAAAAAATATTCCCTTTTTTGTGGATGCATTTTCTCGTTCTAGAGTTTTTATACAACATTTAGGATAATTTATAAGTTATCCACCTGAACATTGTCCTGTGACTTTTAAGGGTAATAATTTATGAAAAACTAATTCCAAAAGACTTGAGGTTTGCTGATACATGTCTAAGAATAGCTCTTTGTTCTAGGATTGTTTGAACCAGTAGGTCAAGGGCCTGAAGCCCTTGGCTCTCAGCAGTGAAGCGTGCTTTCCCTCCTGTTCCTTTTCAAACACGTGGGAAATGTGGTCCTTGAGAACCCAGAGCAGTTTTGAAGAACTGTGAGATGCTGCTTAAAGTGGCCCAGCCTAGTAAAGAGAACAAAGGGTTTGGAGTTGCACAGCCTAGGTTTAAACCCATACTTTGAAGGACTGGCTTTGGGCACACGGAAGCTCATTTATCTTTAGGTGTTAAATGGGGACATTTATAATGTCAGGATCATCGGGATGATCATATATTTATATGTTTGTATATAGGTATTATACACACATTATGCACAGGATCTAATTAGTTGTCTGTATATGGTAGGAATCAATGAACTTCTGACATACTAAGCACATGGCTTGAATTTCAGGTTTTGTCTTTATTGCATATATGTGTTCTAAGTGATAACTGAGTTATCTCTAGAATAAAATGATTGAATAATTCATTAATTGCAGGGCCAAACTAGGGCCATGGCTTTTAAGCAATTAAACTCACATTTTGACTGTGTTTTAAAATGACGACGTCTGTAGGGGGGAACAATGACAACACTCTTTAGAGCCAGGCCTGAATCAGTTTACCTTTCTAGCCTGTAGAAAGGTCTCTGAGAAGCAGCATACTCAAAATTCTGTGATGCTAAGCCCAGTAGTAGGAGTAGAATCTTTGTCATTTCCACAACACCTGGACATACGGCACATACACCTGTATGTGAGGGTAGGAGGGAGCTCAAAAGTAATTCTACTATATTTCTTTTGTTTCTTTGTTTTGAGGGTTTCTCAGTGTAGCCTTGACTGTCATGGAACTCTGTAGACCGGGTTGGCTTCAAATTCAGAGATCCGACTATCTCCGCCTCCCAAGTGCTGGGATTAAAGGCGTGCACCATCACTAACGGGCAATTGTGCTGTATTTCTGAAAATTCTAATTAGCTCATCATGATGTGTGTATATGCTGTTTAGTTCTTAGGCCTTTTTTTGTTTTTCCTTTTCCATTTGTTGGCCAATTTGCAGGAATCCATGGAACTACCAAGCTCAACTAAATATTCTCTTGGTTTAGGAGGGAAAGATATCACTGGCTTCAAGGAATTTATAATCTCTGCTAGGAAGAATGACAGAAAATGGAAGCACTTGCTGAGAGGTGGGCTTCCAGAGGAGACACCTATCCATCTGGGTGTCTTGGAAGGTGCGAAGCTACAGTCATTTCCCTCTAGGTTACACCGTGTGTGCGTGTGTGTGTGTGTGTGTGTGTGTGTGTACTCAGGTTGTCAGTCAGACTTGGTACAAGCACCTATTGTCACCTCACTGGGTCCCTAACAATTTTTGTGTCATAGTTTTCAGTTCCTTTATTGTCCTCATTACTCTTTCTTCATTGGGTCTCCAGCTTTTCTCTGACAGCCTTAGATGGAATGTGTTTGCTTTGAGCACAATCTCTCGCGTAGGGCGAGTTGGCACTACCATGGTCTTTTAGATCTACATACTCTCTGTCACGCCCTTCTGCTTCAGTGCTTGTCTGAGGCCTGGGGTTTGCGGTGGGCCACAGCTTGTTGATGCCATGACAGCCTTCCATACAGCTCCAATTTGCTTATGCTTTCTTTGTGTAAGTCACCATGTTGAATTCATAGAATGGGCTTTTGTACCAAAAGAGGTTCTTGTCCATGGGCACTTTGTAAATGTAACTAAATAAGTAATGAGTCTTTAAATGTCTGTACTCCCTCATCATGATATGTGTGGCAGTTTGACCTGGAGTTGTCCAGATTATAGGTCAAAACATTAAAATAGATTTTATCAGGCTGACATTTGGAAAAACAAGCTTACTTCAGATGACTCTGTTTCAGTCATTTTTAAAGAACTGTTTTTTAAACATAGGAATTGATTTATGTGTTATGCAGTTTTGTCTTAGGGTATAATTTTAGCTATTTATTGTTATTCATTCCTGTCTTTCCCTTTTCTTCCTGACATTCTCTCTTGGCCTTTGGTAAAAAGAACAGAAAATGAACATGTTTCTAAAAATAATTCAGCCAGGAAAGATACGAGCCAACTGCTTATCTTGTTTTCTTTCCAAATTGTAGGATGGTCCCTATAGACCTTATCAGATACAAAGTATACATACATTTTTCTCTTACATCCTTCCTGTGTAGTCAAGGGAAATACACTAAGTGAAACCAGGAAGTTGACAGTGTTTATTCCAAGAAGTAAGAAAAGCCGTAGCAGGCCCAAATGCCATCACCTCAGGTTTGTAAGTAACTTGGTTGGAGAAACTTGCGCAAGCAATTTTAAGGACCCTTCATCCAGAAATATAAGCCCTGGTCAGTGGCGTGATGGAGACCTGACCATCAAGGCTCTGCCTGGCCTTCTCCTGTAGCCACAGCCACAGGCGCCCGTGGCCCTTCTACCTAACCGCGGAAGGAAGTTAGATCTGGTACAGGTCTTCACGTGGTCTCTGGCCGGACTCGCAATGGCTGCCCCGAGGGCTGTGGCCGGAAGTGTAGCCGCTGCCCCAGGCTTCCGCTTCCGGTCGTGTAGGGCCAGACACCCCCACTCCCACCCCGCAACCAAGGGTCAGACAAAGAGAAGCTACAGCTTGGGAGCAGACACAGCGACCAAACAGGAAAGCCTTCCAGTCCGGCTGTGGGTGGGGAGGTAATGGGAAAGGCTGCAGAACTTGAAGGTTTACAGAAGCAGGATGAGGCGCCGCAGACCCACACTGTGGAGATGCCACGGAAGAGGGAGAGTTAGGGGAGGAAATGAATGTGCTACAAAGCGAGACTCAACGGCGGAAAGTATTATTCTCTCTCTTTTTGGGTCTCTGTAGCAAGGAGTCTAGATGCTTGTTGTAGCTTCCTGTCTCCTGCATGACCAGAGAGAACGTGGTGCACGAAGCCCCAGAACACATCGTTTAACATTGTTAGCCATTGTATGTAGTGAGGCGGTAAGTTTCCCTTGCTTTTCTCCAGTTCTCCCCGATCCTCCAAAAGTATGTTGTCAAGAGGAACAAGATTATAAAATTACTTCTAGTTATCAAGAGACTGACGTCATGAGCAAGAAATGCTGATGACACAAATCATTCAAAACAATTTTATTTTCATCTTAATTTTCTGGAGGTTTTATCTCTCGGAGTCGAGGAAAAAAATGTAACAAAGAAAGGGAACAAGGGGGCTGGGTGAATCTGTGAAGACAACACCTTATCTGTCTTCTTGACTGTAGGCTCTAGAGCATTTCCATTAATGGACAAGGAACGGCTCGCTGCCTCTCCACCTGTTCTGTGTAAACTCCGGTGACATGAGGAATGCCTTCTCCACAGTCTGCTTTCCTGAACGTAGCTTTTTTTCTAACAGTTCTGCCAAGTTTGGTATCCGTCTACCCTTCTCGTGGCTGTAGCACACCATTGTTTTGTTTTGTTTTTTAAATCTGGCTGAAAATCCTCAGGGCGGCCTGCTGAGAATGAAGAGTGGGCTCTGCCCTTGGCACCACTGTAAACAGAGCCAAGAGAGTGGCGCCTACAGCTCTGTAGGGAGTGACTGGGAAAATGTAGGCTGTCGGCTGCTCACACCTCACATTTGTGCACCCCCAGTTGCTCATGATGATGGCCAAACACCAGCAATATGGCTAATATTTATTTTTTTATTTTTAAGAAGTATTGGAATAGGAATAAAACCCCAGCAACTCTTGTGTACTGTACTGCTAATGGGAATGCAAAATGGGACAGGCTGGGATGAGAAAATTATGACGGTTCCGCAGAGAAACCAGACATGATGACCCTGTAATCCAGCAAAGAAAATGGAAGCAGGATTGAGAATTGGAATGACTTGTATGTGGAGGTCAGAGGTCGGTTCTCTATCGTGTGGGTCATGGGGGATTACACTCAGGTGGTGGAGCTTGGCAGTGAGCACCTTGGGCACAGCAGTAGAAAAATAAAATAATGTGGATTCTTAACCACTCCCCAGTGTTGGGGTCGCAGGTGCTACCACCCCGCTAGGCTTGTGTATGGGTGCTCGGGGGATCCAGACTTCGGTCCTTGTGCTTGCAAGTCAGGTATGTTACCCACGGAACCACTGCACAGGCCTCTTGGTTTTCGTTTGTAGTAGTGTGTCGTGTAGCACAGGCTCACCTCACACTTGCTGTATAAGCAGTTGGTGTTTGTGTTCTCGAATCCTGGTCGTCTGCCTCCACCTCCTAAATGCTGGGATTGCAGGTGTGAGCTCCCAAGCATGGCTGATGATTTTCTATTTCGATGCTCTGCTATCTTCAACAAGTTGTTGCCATCTTATGCTCCTCAGTTGCCATGGTCCTGGTGTACACAGCAGGAAAGAGGAGAGAAGCAACACTCACTTTCAAAGCCTAGCCTAAACGTTACAGATAATCCATCCCTTCAGTCCCCCACATAGGCCAGAACCTAGCAGTACCTTCTTAGTCTTCATTAGTGTAGAAGCTTAGAATTATGTGCCCAGCTGAAATTCCTTTGTTTGTGAGATTAGAAGAATAAATATTGTAGGAAACTGGCAGTTGAGACCGAAGTGTATGAGATGTTTGAATTGTGGTTACTCATGGGGGGGGGGGAGGATGACTATTATGTAGCCATTGGGACTATAAGCCTCCCTAGAAAACATCTTCTTTGGCCGTTGTGGAGGAAATGTCTTCTAATCTTAACTCAGGAAAGACTTTGTAAGGATATATTGTTGCTTTTAAGATCAGATGGTCTGGGGATGTAGCTCAGTGGTTGAATGCTTGCCCAGCACGCACAGGAACAGACTGGGTTTGAGCTCCAGCTCTGCCACAAGGAACTATAACAAGAGGAAAACACAGGCAGAAAACCCACCTTCATGCGCTACCTACTTGATTGTGTTGGTATAGGGAACAGCTTGTGCTTCGGTCCCAACAGTGACTGTTAGACTCAGATAGGGTCTCCAGGTTTGTCTCAGACTGCTGCTGGGATTACAGGCCTAGGCCACCTTGCCCAGTGTATGCAGTGGTGGGAATGGAACCCAGGCTTTTCTGCATACTTGGCTAGCACTGAACTGACCAAGTTTCATCTTCAGCCCTCAAGTTACTTTTTTTCTTCTCTTTTCTTTTTTAAAAAATGCTGCATGGTACTTCCGGGGGATTTCCAAACAGCACTGCTAATGTAACTGTCACATACTTCATTTTCTTTCTTTTTCCTTTTTTTTTTCTTTTTTTGGATGATGGATTATAAACACTTCTCATATAAACAGGAGCGCTCTGAAGACTCTGGGTCCATTTGCTTTCTTGTCTCAGCAGTGTATAGGTAGGCCATTCTGTATTATTGATCCCCACCTTTCCCGTGAGGATGCATGCTTCTCAGAGCGATCAGCAGAAGTTAGTAAGGTGCCTGACAACTGCAAGGCCCCTGCAGAAATTAGACGACATTAACATATTCCCATTAGTTAAAGTGCTAGAATTTAACTTAGTGGATGTTGGGCAAATATTAGAAAAGTCACCCCTGTGCCTGGCACTTTTTCCTGTAACATGTAGCTTGCATGAAGTTTCCATGTGTTCATTTTTGGATGTGCCAAAAATGAACTCCACAGCTTGACCTCAAGGTGCTTGACCCCTGTGGCCTTCCTACCATTGGCTGGAGGGCCAGCATTTCCCATTTCAGTGCTTCTTGTTTTGAATGGGGTCTCTCTGAAGCCGTGGCTGTCCTGGAGCATGCTGTGTAGACCAGGCTGGCTCACCCACAGAGACCCACTTGCCTTCCAAATGCTGGAATTAACAGTGCGTGCCGACATTCGTAGCAGGACCACTGTTAAAAGCAGCTCCCAGTCCGGTCTCTCCCCTCTTGGTTAGGCTGCTGCCTCTAAAGCCCAGGAGGTGACTGTCCTATGTAGTGCTAGACTCCGTAGATGGAAATAGACACAGAGGAAAAGAGGTGGTATGTGATGCTTCAGAAGGACATAGAGAAGTGTCCAGAATATGGGGGTGGAAGGTACCAGTGAAGGAGTGAGGATGTCAGCCTCAGCAGCCAGCCAGATCTTGTCCAAGGTGCCTCGCTTGGCTCTGTCTTTCTGGTGGTTTGCTTACCTGCTTGGGGTTAGGATGAAGTAAAGAGTGCTAAGTGCTTGTTTGATCTCTGTTACGTTCATCGGAACCAGCTCTAGTGCTAACCATAGGAAGCTTCAGTTTCTTCAGGTGGTCGTTCTGGCTCGCCTGCCTGCCGAGAACTCAGGCTTAGAAATGTAAGGATTGGTTCATTATACGTTGTAGCCAGAATGCTGAGAAATGACAGGGAGTGCCCGCCGTGTGTGCACAGTCAGGAGCACGACTTTTAGTTTGACTGGGATTTTCATTTGCTGAAACTGTTCCCCGTTGTGGTGTGTCTCACTGAGATGAAAGAAGAGTGGAAAACAGAAAATAAACTCCGTAGATCTTTTTTGTTTGTTTTTTGAGACAGGGTTTCTCTGTGTAACCCTGGCTGTTGTGGAACTCACTCTGTAGACCAGGCTGGCCTGGACCTCAAGAGATCCGCCTCCCTAGTGATGGGATCAAAGGCGTGCGCCACCACCTCCCGGCAACTTTATAGGCTTTAAATGAACTCTAATATGTCTTCCTTATATGTAAACTTTTTATTGAGATTGTCATACATGATCTTCCTTTTCTACCTCAGCCCCATATCCTGCTGTCCTGAAAGCAGTTTCAGTGATGTCCCCTCTCCCCACCGTTGTGACTTCCGTGATTTCCCTGTCTTTCCCACAACCTGCCTCACCTGGAGACCCAAACAGACTGTCCCCACCTCTCCTGCTGGGGACACTGACACGCAGCGATTCATTGCTCCGTTGACACTTGAGGCAGGTCTGGAGCTTTCTGTGCTCCCCTGTCTCTTAAGGCATCCGTCCTCCAAGTACTTTTCCATTGTTATAGAAAGAATCCCTCGGGACCAGATCCTCCAGTTTTATGAGTAGGATTTGGTTTCAGCAGAAAAAGATGAAAAATTACAATTTACTTTTAGTGACACTTTCAGCCAACTAGGATGTCCTGTTTAGAGACAGGGCTCCAACCCTTTCTAAAGGGACAGTTTATCTCTCTTTTAAACAAGGAGAGCTATTACCGAGGACGCGGATGGGAGACAGGTTGCCACATCAAAATAAAGTAACACATGGTTTCCTTCTCCCAAGAACCTTTCCTCTCCAAAGCAGGGGTGGGAAAATGGATTTTAAAATTTTACTTCGCAAAACTATGTAAATTTACATTGCTATACTTAGCTACTTTAAAACCCAGGAGCAGGGTGACAGGGTCTCACTGTTTAGCTTTGGCTGGCCTGGAACTCACTTTGTAGACCAGGCTCCGAGAGCTCTGCCTGTCTCTGCCTCTCCAGTGCTGGGTTTAAAGGCTGGCATTTTACTCTTTGAAAGTTTACCATTTAAGGGATGTATCACAGTTGGTAAAGTGACTCCCTAGCATGCCTTAAACCTTCCTTCAGATCCCTGCTACTTAAAACCAGGCATGTTGGCTCGTGCCTAGAGTCCCAGGTTGAAGTAGGGGGTCAGCAGGTCATTCTTCTCAGCTGCATGGGGAGTTCAAGACTAGCTCGGTCTCCTGTCTCAAAAAAGGAAACGTCATTCTCTAAAAGCAAAATATGTAATCCTTTGTGTGCCGGCTTGTTCAACCAGCGTGAAGTGGGCTTGGGTAGACTCTGGGTTTGCTGTTTCCTGTCGGGTAGACTTAGTTTGAGCTTGTTTTAATCGATGTGTTCGCTTCTACTCCCCTGCCCAGAACTTGACGAGGAGAAGATGGATGGGAAAGTGACCTCGGTGGGAGGGGTCCTGGGGGTGTGAGCACACATTTGCGCGCCTGTGTTGTGCCTGGGTGTTCCTGAGCTTAAAGCAAATGGCAGCTTCGGTGGTGGCCTCTGACCGGAGGTGTGGAGATGGGGAGACTAATGCCTTTCCAGAGCTGCACGATTGAAAGACAGCA